CCTATGAATTCATCTCCTGAAACTGCTTGCTATTGCCACAGTAGCTGTAATGTCTTACGTAGCCAATTAACATAACGCTTGAGTAGACACATAACCCACGCCCTACAGCTTAAAGACGTGGAGCCCGTCAATCACCAACCATTGTTACTGCTGTTAAACCAACGAGAATTCCTGACAAACAGCTTCGTACTGGCCCACTCTTTGCCCCCTTGCTGCCTCTGAAAATCCCTTGTAACTGCTGCTAACTGGAGTATATGTATTCAGGGCAAATTGAATCCATGCTCCCGGGTTGCAATCCTCAAGCGTGGCCTGCACCAAATCTCTACTTACATTAATTGTGCCCCGGCTTCTTCTTTTTAGATTGACAGTGGATATTTAGAAGTGGTCAAGTTCTGGAAATATTCCAGAGGCAGAGCTGACCTGCTTTGCTGACGGCTTAGGTTTGGATGGGAGTGACAGAGGAGAGCCAGGAACCCAAACTGTATTCGGTTTCTACGGCTGCACAACAAAGTACCACAAACCGGAGGCTTGAACCAACACAGATTTAGTAAACAGCCTCTAGAAGTCTGGTGCAGGTCTCACTGGGCTGAATTCTTTGGGCTCTAGAGGAGAATCCTTGGCTTGCCTCTTCCAGCTCTAGAGGCTGCCTGCATTCCTTGGCTCGTGGCCACCTGACTCCAGCCTCTACTTCTGCAGCCACCTGCCCTTCTCTGACTCTGACCTTCCTGCCTTCCTCCTCTCAGAACGTCAGGCTCACCTGATGGGCAAGCCAGGACCATCTTCCATCGCAAGATCCTCAACTGAAGCACACATGAGAGGTTCTGTTTGCCACGTAAGGTCACATAGTCACGGGTCCCTTGGATCAGGGCATGGTCCTCGTTACGGGGTTATTCTGCCGCGGCAGAAGTTTTAGCAGAATAACCAGGAGAGTGGACTTGTCATTTAGTAAGATGGAGAAGGTTTGTGGGGAGGGGTCAAGCGTCAAGCCCTGGTTGTGGCAGTGTTGACTGGGACATCTTACTAGACACCCAATGAAGAGCCGTGGAGCTGGTGGTGGGAGGTTAAACCTGAAATTCAGGGATCTGAGCAGGAAATGTAAGCTGCAGGGACAGCGACGATTGGACAGGATGTGTGAACCCAGGATGGGTGAACCCAGGACGGGCTCTGTTTATAGTGTGCACGGAAAGAAAGAGGAACTGAACTCTGAAAGCCAGTGCTTAAAAGAGTGGGCCATGAGGAAAAGCCAGCACAGGAGACTGAGGAGCTTCTGATGGGGAGAGAGAGACCCAGAGAGTGTTTCTTGCTCCTTTTATGAGTTACACTGAGGACAGTAAGAAGCAGGACTTCCTCTCTGCATTTGCCCAACACCCCTGACACCGCACCCCCTGCTCAGGAAGAAATGCAGTAGGTTGAGGCAGTGGAAACAGGACAGAGGGCAGCTGGGAGGTTGAATCCATCTTAGGAGCCAGCAGGAATAGCAAGGTCCTTTCAGACTGACAGTTCCTGCCTTTTAGGTGGGGGCAGCACCTTCCCTGGCACCAAGTCCCATCCTTCCCTGCAAAATAGCTCTTTCTGTTGGCTGTTACCTTTCCTGCAACAGTGGATCTCAGTCTCAGCTGTGCAGCTTTGAAAAATGCTAATGCTTGTGAACCACTGAATGAATTTTGGATTTAATTAATCTAGGGTGAGGCCCAGACAGAACAAGCTTGAATGGCTCTCCTGCTGATTCCAGCATGCAGCCTGCTCTCCAGCTATAGCAACCCTCCATTCACGGCAGTCCCTGAGGAGGCTGTTTTGCCAGCTGATACCCCAGATAAAGTCCTTTGTGTTTTAACTGTTCTTATGAAGCCCTGGTGAGGATGTGGAAGAACAAGAGCTCTCATGCTGTGTTGGTGGGATATAAGATGGCACAAGTGCTTTGGAAAACTGGCTGTACACTTTGCCACAAGACAGCTCTTCTACTCCTAGATACTTACTCAGGGGAAATAAAGGTCGGACGCGGTGGCTCACACCTGTAATCCCAGCACTTTCTGAGGCCAAGGCAGGTGGATCATTTGAGGTCAGGAGTTCGAGACCAGCTTGGCCAATATGGCCAAATCCCATCTCTATTAAAAATATGAAAATTAGTTGGGCATGATGATGGGCACCTGTAATCCCAGCTACTGGGGAGGCTGAGACAGCAGAATGACTTGAATACCGGAGGGCAAGGTTGCAGTGAGCCAAGATCATTCCACTACATTCCAGCCTGGGCGACAGACTGAGACTCTGTCTCAAAGAAAAGAAAAGGGAAATAAAAAGATAACACCACAAAAGGCTTCTAGGCAAAGATCCCCTAGAAGCTCTATTTGTCATAACCCAAAACTGGAAACAGCCCAGAGGTAAGTAGATAAAGAGATTGTGGAACAGCCAAACATGGAGTGCTACTCAGTGACGAAAGGGACAGACCATCGATGCATCATACATGGATGAGTCTCGAAGATATTATATTGAACAAAAGAAACCAAGTGCAAAGGACCACATACAAGTGCAATTCCATTGGTGGGAAGCTCTAGAAGAGGCATACCCAATCCACAGTGACAGATGCAGGCTATCTACCAAGGAAGAAAATGGTCCCTCAAAATCCATTTCCTCCTTCTTCCCCAATATTCCTCTGAGCACATGGACACTCAGCATAAAAGCCACATTCCTCAGCATCCTTTGCAGCTGTGGAGAACCATGTGTCTAATTTCCAGCCAGCAGGAAGAAGTGTACAACTTCTTGGTCTTGTCCTTAAAAAGAAGAGTCAACGATTTTGCTGTCTGAGTGACAGTAGGATGTTTCCAGCCACCAAGGTTGCTGATGGCGAAAAAGGAGTTGTCTCCCCTTTCCTTCCCTCCTTGGTCAGAATATACAATCTTGATTGAGTCAGGAAGATACAGAATAGGACAAAAAAGTACCAGGCACTGGACCATACGTTTGCCTGGACTTCCTATACCTGCACTATTACGTGGGGAGAATGCAAGTTATTTCTCACGAAACCTGTCTTATTTGGGGTCACTATCACAGCAGACAAATCTAGGTCATAACCAATTCAGGTTCAGGGGATGAAGCGGGTGGAAGCACAGGTTCTCAGGAGGTTTTCAAATGCAATTCCTTCTGTCAGAGGATGTGAAGAATTGGCAAACAAGCTGTGGGGAAGGAACAGAGCCTCCCTGTCTCCAACCTCCCTGTCCACCAGGGCAGCCACTGGAAACCCAGGGCATGTAAGAGAAACACAGTGTCCTCCCTCCCAAGCCAGGCCTCTCTTGCATCCTGATGACAGCAGGAGCCATGCTGCTCTCAGGACCAAGGAATCTGTTCCACAGCTGCCAGGAGGTCCTCTCAGTATCAGCCAAAACTCTCAGCTGTCAGCTCTGCCCAGGAGCCACCTCAGCCCAGCTGAGTCCACATGGAGCCTTGTCCCCCCTGGGAGCAGCTGCACCCGACACTGATCCGCCTGCAGGGTGGAGGTCTTTCCCTGAGCTGCTTTGCTCTGAAAAGCCATTGTAGCCTGATGGGTCCCCAGGGGCTGGCTGAGGCCTCTGTGGAGACACCTGCAGCCTTGCTTCTCCCACTTGAACCTGCTGCTCTCCAGTCCCAACACAGCTGCTCCCCCTGTGGAACCAGCCAGTGACAGGCAGACAGGTCTGTGGAGAACACAAGAAGCGCTTGTAAACATTCCCAGACCACTGCTGCTGAGGTCAACAGGGACTTCCACCAGTTTTTAAAAATTAGATGAGGCCAGGTGCAGTGGCTCACACCTATAATCCCAGCACTTTGGTAAGCCAAGGCGGGCAGATTGCCTAAGGTCAGGAGTTCGAGACCAGCCAGGCCAACATGACAAAACCCTGTCTCTACTAAAAATACAAAAATTAGCTGGTTGTGGTGGTGGGCACCTGTAATCCCAGCTACTTGGGAGGCAGAAGGAGGAGAATCACTTGAACCTGGGAGGTGGAGGTCACAGTGAGCTGAGAACACACCACTGCACTCCAGCCTGAGTGACAGAGCGAGACTCCATCTCAAAAATAAAATAAAATAAAATATTAAATATAATAAATAATAAATTTTAAAATTAGATGAAATGAGGAAGAGCCAGTGTCCTGGGTTGGATGTCATCCATATCCCAGGTGAGGCACAAGTGGCACGTCACAAACTTACCCATCATCTTTGCCTAAGTCACAGGAGGGCTGGAAAGAGAGTTGGGTAGAGCCCCAGGCACGCAAAGGAGGTTGCAGGCTGAGAAAGCTTGAGGGGAGACCCTTAACCAGGGCCACGGGGCAGGATCTGGGGGAGGGGCCACCTCTGGTGGGGATGACTTAGATGGCTACAACCTGCTGAATGACAGAAACCCCCTTGTCTTCCCAGATGGCCTCAAGAAGGTATCATTTCTCAATAGTGCTGTTGCAAGGAATTTTTTTCTGGGAATTAAGCAGTACAGGGCAAGGAAAGAGGCAGCCTCAGGAGGCTGTGGGATCCCAGCAGAAGCCTAGGGATTCCAGCATCACACACATCTGGAAGGGTGAGGACCTCAAAGCTCTATACCGCTCTGGTGTGGCCACCATCCGAAGGTCTCACCAGCAGCTGGCTGGTGAACAGGGCTCACGGGAGGCTCAGTGTCTGCATAACACAGATTGCGGCAGGAACAGAGGGACACTGCACTGGCAGCAGCTGCTGGGCCTCAGTGGGCCCCTGGATATTAGGTTTCTCCCTTTTGACAAAAGAGCAAAGTGGCTGCCTCAAGCTGCAGGTCAAAGTGTTCTATGTAATTGCCTACTTCTTACATTTAAGAACTCACAGGAAAAACAAATTCCGCTCTAATTGACAGTCGGACCTTGAACTGCTTGATGTTCACAGTTCCCAAGCCTGAGCCACTGCTGGGCAGCAGGGGTGGTGGTCAGGACAGGCTGGACCTGAGCAAAGGAGAGCCATGCCCTTCCAGGACCTGCCGAACATCTCTGCACCTGTCCATCACCATATCCTACCTCGACGATGCTTCAGCGTGATGACAGCCACCTTACTGCAGCTTCCTGGATCCTCAGGCAAGTTTTTCTCTGGCCATCGGTAACCTGGAGCCGTGCAAGAAAGGGGTTCAGGTCACAGAGTTTGACCAGGTCAACAGGCATCACCCAGCCAGAGCCCTGAGGTGTAGCTGGCTGGTTCTTTATGCATGTGCAGCCCCTCCCTGGAGCCCTGCCCCACAAAGAGCATGACCTGCTCCTCACGGTGCCCAACCTCACCTCTCAGCCTCGTTTTCCTCATCTGTACAGAGGAGACAGTCATAAAACCCACCTGACAGGACCACTGTGAAGATCTTCCAAACTACAAAGCCACACCCATATGGAAGCAGTCACTGCTGTTTAAGATGAGAAAAGGAGCAGCTAACTCAGAATCCTGAAGAACGACGTTCAGTTTGAGCACAAGTTTGCTTTTCCCTCCCGCCAAAAAAACTCCACAATTTAGAAGCTGCTGCCAATCATGAATCCTGACAGTGCATAATGATAATTTTGCTTGTCTTACACAAGTTATTTAGAATAAAATATCTGATCTAATTTCCAAATTACAGGACTTGTTCCTAAGCAACAGCCCAGGCTTTAAGAAATACACACAAGAACAGAGAGGATCCAGGGCTGTGTTTTAGCAGCAGCTGTGCTGAGTGAGGGTAAGCCATGACCAAAGGTGTCTGCCTTTCCCTCATCATTGCCCTCTGCACTGGGGACCTTAGAAAAAAAAGTGGAAGCAGTAGACCCCTGTCACATTGGCCTGGTGACCATTGGCTTCTACCTGAGCCCCTGGCTGCCCTGTTGCTCTCAGCCATTGGTCCTGCTTCAAACCCCCAAGGTTCATGCACCACATTCTTATTCAGGGCTGGGAGTGCATCTCTGCAGGTCCCTGTACCTACAAAGTGCAGGTGGCTGACTTCTGGCTTGGTGGGGCCCCTGCTCTACACACCTGTGGGCTGAACTGCCCTCCTGAGACCTCTGGGTTTTCATGGGCCATGGTACCACCAAGGCATTTCACGAGCCTTTAGAACCCCACCTCTTCCTCGTGCCTGTAGTTGCCCAGCAGGCTCCCATTTGGTCCTTGCCCAACCCTTCTTTGTGGGCCCAGACCTATCTCTTCAGTCTCCTTCCTTCATGGTACAGCTCAACACATGAAGCCAACCAGAACCCCCACTGGGGCTTGCTGTTGCTGTGGTTAACAGTGGGTTCTGTCAGTTTTTAAAAGTTAGATAAAATGAGGAAGGCTCAGTGTCCCTGGTTTAAATGGATACCATCTCTTTTGTTGCCCTGCTACCTATACAGATGTCTTTATTTGCCATCTGCTAAAAAGATGAGGTCCTTGAGAGCCGAAACCACAACCCTAGCTGAAGAATTGTATCTGATAAAGTGCGGTGCTCTTGTTGGCTCCACAGTGCATATTGCATTCATTCTTCATTGCCACCACCCAATGTTTGAGAAGGGGAGAATTTCTCCATCAAACGCAATTTGTGGAACTCGGTCAGCTTTTTCATGGCTGTACCCTATTCTCAACAGTCCAGCACACACAAGTCAAGGTTATAATAAAACTTCACCAAGTGTGATGGCTGTTTTGTATGTCAACTGGACTGGGTCATGGGGAGTTTCTGGTGTATTTGTGAGGCTGTTTCCAGGAGAGACCAGCATTTGAATTGGTGGACTGAGAAAAGCAGGTGGCTCTCCTTAGTGTGGATGGGCATCATTCAATCCATTGAGTGCAGAGGAAGGGCAAACTCTTTCTCTTCTGGAACTGGACTATCCATCTACTCCCATCCTCAGACACTCAAGGTCTTAGTTCTTCAGTCTTCAGGCTCATCCAGGTCTTAACATTGTCTCCTGAGTTTTTTTTTTTTTTTTTTTTTTTAATGAAAGAAAGAAAGAGAAAGAGAAAAGGAGGAGAGAAAACAGGAGTCTTGCTCTATTCCCCAGGCTGGAATGCAATCTAAAAGTAAGTATTAAAAACCTCTTTTATGCCGATAATTGTGCTTAACAGTGGAGACAGGAAGGAGTAAGGAAGGAAAATAACAAACAGCCAACTGATATTTCATTTAAATCTGTGAAATGCTATGCAAATGCTGAAGAGTGATTTACTTCCAATTATGTAGTCACTTTCAAAATAGGGGTAATGTAATAATAAAAAAAGATATGTTCTGTGGACCAGGGATGAAGAATTCTATAAATATTCACTAAGTTTACTTGTTCCAGGTCTGAGTTCTAATCATAAATGTCTCTGTTAATTTTCTATCTCGTTGATCTGTCGAATAATAACAATGTGGTGTCAGAGTCTCCCGCTATTATTGTGCAGGAGTCCAAGTCTCTTTATAAGTCATTAAGAACTTGTCTTATGTATCTGGGTGTTCCTACATTGGGTACATATATATTTATGGTCATTGATTCCTGTTGTTGCATTGATCCTTTTACCATTATGTAATGTCCTTCTTTGTTTCTTTTAGTCATTGTATTAAAGTCTATTTTGTCAGAGACAAAAGTTACAACCCCTGTTTTTTTCTCTCTCTCCATTTGATTGGTGAGTCTTCCTCCAACCTTTCGTTTTGAGTCTTTGTGTGTCCTTGCTTATGAGATGGATTTGGATACAGAGTGCCGATGTGTTTTGACTTTTTATTCAGTTTGCATGTCTGTGTCTTTGATTGGAGCATTTAATCCATTTAAATTTAGGATTAATATTGATATTTGTGAGTTTATATTTTCATTTAATGCTAGCTGGCTCTTTTGCCCATTAGTTGATATAGATTCTTCATTATGGAGATACTGTTTACCTTTTGGTAAGTTTTTGGGATGACTGATACTGGTTGTTCCATTCCGTGTATAGCACTTCTTTCAGAAGCTCTTGTAAAGCAGGCCTGGTGGTGATGAAATCTGAGTGCTTGCTTGTTCACAAAAAAATTTATTTTTCCTTCATTTATGGAGCTTAGTTTGGCTGGATATGAGATTCTGGGTTGAAAATTCTTTTCTTTGAGGGTATTGAATATTGACCCCCCACTCTCTTCTAGTTTGTAAGGTTTCAGCTGAGAGATCTGCTGTGAGTCTGATAGGCTTCCCTTTATGGGTAACCTGACCTTTCTCTCTAGCTGCCCTTAGAATTTTCTCCTTTATTTCAACCCTGATGAATCTAACGATTATGTGTCTTGGGGTTGCTCTACTTGAGGAATATCTTTGTGGTGTTCTCTGTATTACCTGGAGTTGAGTACTATCCTGCCTTACTAGGTTAGGAAAGTTTTCCTGAATAATATCCTGAAGAATATTTTCCAGCTTGGATTCATTCTCTTCATCACATTCAGGTACACCTATCAAATGTAAATTAGGTCTTTTCACATAGTCCCATATTTCTTGGAGACTTTGCTCATTCCTTTTTACTTTTTCTTCTCTAATCTTGTCTTCTCATTTCATTTCATTAAGTTGGTCTTTGACCTCTGATATCCTTTCTTCTGCTTGATCAATTCGAGTGTTAAAACCTGTGAATTCACTGCAAGTTCTCATATTGTGTTCTTCAGTTCCATTAATTCACTTATATTCCTCTCTAGATTGTCTATTCTCATTAAGATTTTGTCAAACCTTTTTTCAAGGTTCTTAGTTTCTTTACATTGGGCTAGAACATGTTCTTTTAACTCACAGAAGTTTCTTATTATCCACCTTCTGAAGCCTAATTCCGTTAATTGGAACATACTCGTTCTCCATCAGGCCTTGTTTCCTTGTTGATGAGGTACTGTGATCCTCTGTAGAGGGAGAGGCATTCTGATTTTGAGTATTCTCAGCCTTTTTATGCTGGTTTCTTCCCGTCATTGTAAATTTATCCACCTGTCGTCTTTGTAATTACTGACTTTCAAATTAAGTCTCTGAGTGGATGTGCAACTTGTTATTCCCAGAGCCAAAATCTGAGCAACCCACTGTGCTGGCATTTTTCAAGAAAGAAAGAAAGAAAGAAGAAAGAGAGAAAGAGAGAAAGAGAGAAAGAGAGAGAGAGAGAGAGAGAGAGAGAGAGAGAGAGAGAGAGAGAGAGAGAGAGAGAGAAAGAAAGACAGAAGGAAGGAAAGAAAGAAAGACGGAGAAAGAAAGAAAGAAAGAAAGAAAGAAAGAAAGAAAGAAAGAAAGAAAGAAAGAAAGAGGAAAGGAAAGGAAAGAAAGGAAGGGGAAAAAGAAGAGGGAGAGAGAACAGGAGTGTTGGTTTACTGCCCAGGCTAGAATACAGTCTAAAAATGGGTATTGAAAACCTCTTTTGTGCCAATGATTGTGCTTAATGATGGCCAACCAATATTTCATTTAAACCTGTGAGTAGGTGTGATGTGATACTGATAAGAGTGTATATTTTGTGTATTTAAAGTGGCGAGCTCTATAAATGTTTATTAAGTTTACTTGTTCCGGATCTGAATTCAAGTCCTGGATATCCTTATTAATTTTCTGTCTCGTTGATCTATCTACTATTGATGTTGAAGTCTCCCACTATTATTGTGTGGGAGTCCAAGTCTCTTTATAAGTCTTATGTATCCTTTATTGGTTGTGTATATATTTAGGACCATTAGCTCTTCTTGTTGTATTGATCCTTTTACCATTATGTCCTCTTTTGATCTTTGTTGCTTTAAAATCTATTTATCAGAGGCGAGAATTGCAACTCCTGCTTTTTATTTATTTATTTTTGCTCTCCATTTGGTTGGTAACTCTTTCTCCATCCCTTTGTTTTGAGTCTTTATGTATCCTTGCATGTAAGATGGGTCTGGATGCAACATACCAATGGGTTTTGGCTGTATCTTTTGATTGGGGGATTTTAGTCAATTTAAATTTAGGATTACTGACATTTGATGTTAGCTGGCTGTTTTGCCCATTAGTTGATGTAAAATCTTCATTATGTTGATGCTCTTTACTTTTTGGTATATTTTTAGAAAGGCTAATACTGGTTGTTTCTTTCTATGTGTAATTCTTCTTTCAGAAGCGCTTGTTAAGCAGGCCTGGTGGTAATAAAATCTCTGAGTACTTGCTTGTTCACAAAAGATTTTATTTTTCCTTTGCTTGTGAAACTTAATTTGGCTGGATATGAA